GACCCTGTCTAAAAAATAAATAAATAAATAAAAATATACGTGTGTGTGTGTATAAAATATATATAAATTATACATATATTTTATATGTATATATTGTTATATACATACATATTTTATTTATATTGTATTATATACATATACATATAATATATCTATACATACACACATATATATAAGCAGGGGAAGGTTTGTAAAACAGGGTTATCAACACATCATGCTGGACCCCATAAATATATGCAATTATGATTTGTCAATTATAAATAAACTAAGCAACAGGGGTGGCAACCCTGAGGCTTGGCGTCCAGAGGGACAGATGTACGCTGGGGTACACACATGAAGGGCAGGTGCGGGAGGTCCAGGAAGGCCCTGAACGCTGAGCTAAGGGTGGTGTTTATTCTGTAGGCCAAGGACAGCCCGGAAGCTCTATGAGCAGGACCGAGGTAGGGCCAGGCGTTCGTCACATACATTTACTGAGTATCTGCTGTGCACCAGGAGCCGCTTTGCCTGCTGGAGACACTGCACTTAGTCAAGTCCACTGCCTTAGAGCTTATATTCCAGCAAGCGGTGATGACTGCAGTTTGTGAGCTGTGAGCTGTGCCTTCTACCTGCTCTGTGGGTGCCATTCAATCTTCGCGCATCCTTGCGAGGCACTCACCATTATCACTCTCTTTTTGCAGATGGAGAAACAGGGGATTAGGTAACTTGCCTGTGGCCACGGAAGTACCGTGAGATAGAGCAGGATTCGAACTTGAGCCCTCTGGTCCAGATTCCTTGCTCTAAACCACAAAGCTTCTCTGGTCACCTGCCTTTTGTCCCCAGGACGGCAGGCCCAGGTCTGCACATTGGGCCTTCTTGACACAGGCCCTCTCAATCCGGCCACATGAGCCAGTGCAGGGTTCACTGTGGCAGAGGCTCAGATAAGAATAGTGGCCTGCCCCACTGTGGCTCTCGGAGAGAGTGGCACCTCCTGGTCCTGCCTCTGCTCCCTGCAGCCCAGTGGATGGCGCTGAGAGTGGGCAGAGCCAGGGCACTCTCCCGTGGAACAGATGGGACATCTGGCACTGCTGGAGGCCCAAGGCCACCATTTCAAGGGGAACTGTCTCAGTCCCCAACATGCAGCCTGTGGGGAGAACAAGGAGGGAGTCAGCGTCTTCCAGGAATGCCTGGGGGGGGGCTCTCCCAGCCCTGGGCTCCCTCCGTCACCCCTCATTCAAGTGAGCGGAGAGTAGGGTCCTTTGGGGGTGCATTTGAAGCAGACCAGGCCTGGGCAGGCAGAGCCCAGTAAGCCCCTCAGACACCATCAGGGAGGCCAGCAGGGCCTTTCAGACTGGAGGATTTGGGCTGTGGCTCTGGGGTCTCTACAGAGGGGCACGCCCATTGATGGGATGAGGGCGTCCAGCCCAATAATCGGGACATGGGATACCAAGGGTGTTCAGATGACCTTGGGTGGGCGGTAAAGAGAGTGGAGGAGGGAAGGCCGGACTGCCTGAGAGTCAGCACAGCAGGCCCACAGCAGGGGGTTGAGAACCAGGCGGCCTGCACCCAAAACCCTTCTCTGCCTCCCCGCCACTGTGTGACCCTGAACGAGTCACTCAACCTCTCTGTTGTGTGCTTTGTAAAATGGGCATGACAATGGCATCCTCCTTCCCAGCTTGTTTGAGGATCGTGAGCATATGGCACGAAAGGAGTTAGCAGGGTGTCTGGCACGCCGCCAGCCACTGCTGTTACCTCTGCTAAGCGCCTGGCACACTCGGTCCCTGGTGTCTTCCCATTGGTTGTCTGGAGATGACGTGGGAAGGTGCCTGGCACATTGCTTGGCAGGTGCTAGGTAAATGTGGCTCTTAGTAGTGATGATGGTGCTGGTCGCCACAGCAGCCCTTCAAGGTGGCTGTGCGTATCCCACCTCCCAAAGGAGGCTCAAGGCCTCACCAGGAGCAGGCTGTGGGAAGGACTCAGGGGCAGGTCGGGGCTCCCCCGGTGGGCGGCGTGAGAGCGGAGCCTTGCGGTGGAGCCAGGCTTGGGCGGAGGGGGCTATCAGTCAGGTTCAGCTACGTTACTGCAGCAATCACCTCCAAATCTCAGTGGCTTGAACGACCCAGAGGCTCATTTCTCACTCCTGCTGAGTGCTGGCAGCAGGCTGGGCATCGGGGGCTCTGCACCTTCCTCACCACCTCATAGGCTGCTGGCTGCTGTAGGAGAGTGTCAGAAGAGCTCCAGCCACTTGGCTCTTCACATTTAAATGCATGAAAATCAAAGTCAAATCAGAAATGAGTCACAGTGCAGGGGCTCACCAGCTGCATGTGGCTAGTGGTCCTGGCCAGCACAGAGAGAGGACACTTCTGCCATCACAGAACATGCTACTGCACAGTGACCTCTAGAAGTCCCCACCAAAAGTCAGTGTTCCATCCTGGCATGAGTACCCACCTTCTTCTCAAACCCACCTGGGGGCCATGAAGTGCCTTCCTACTATGTGTGTGCAAGGTAGGGAGAAACAGAAATATTTGGGGAACAGCATAATGAGCACTCAAGAGTGGGTCCCGGGTCAGGGTGGATCAGAGAGCAGGAGGGGAGATCATTCCCATGGAGAGAGAGAGAAAGGCAAACTGGGCTGGGCGCAGTGGCTCATACTTGTAATCCCAGCACTTTGGGTAGCTGAGGTGGGTGGATCACCTGCAGTCAGGAGTTCGAGACCAGCCAGGCCAACATGACAAAACCCCGTCTCTACTGAAAATACAAAAATTAGCTGTGCGTGGTGGTGGGTGGCTGTAATCCCAGCTACTGAGGAGACTGAGGCACGAAAATCGCTGGAACCTGGAAGACGGAGGTTGTAGTGAGCCAAGATTGCACCACTACACTTCAGCCTGGACAGTAGAGTGAGACTCCATCTCAAAAAAAATTAAATTAAATTAAAAAAGAGAAAGGAGAACTTGAGAGATCAGCCAGGGCAGGCAGGCAGCATCGTAGGGACCTTTGTGGGGAAGCACGGGGAATTGAGCTGGCACGGAGACCCCACAGCACGCTTTCTCACCCCAGGCCTCGCCCATTCCCAGAATAAATAAAGGTGAGAGTTCCAGGAGTCTCCCTGGTAGGGCACTGCACAGGCCCATGCATGTGCACGAGGTTAGCAACACCCTGATTCGAGGCTGGGGCATGGCTGAGGCAACCTCCAACGCACCCTGCTCCATTGGAGAATTGGCCCAAAAACCAGGCCTGGCTCTCCCCCCGCCTTTCCTGTTCACCTCAGCTAAATAGATCAGAAGGAAAAAGTCTGTTTGATTTTAATCTCTACGCAGGACACTGGAGATTACATTTTCCACAGAAAATGTCAGCCATTGCCTAAAATAGGACTTTAGAGAAAATGCTAGAAAGTGTAATTTTAGGCTCTGTGTTTCCCTCCTGGATTCCTGCAGTCCAGTGGGCTGCTTGATGCTCCCCAGGGTTCCGCTGCCAGGTGCAGACCCCAAAGCTTCAAACAGGTGGTCCGGGGAGAGGGCTCCATAGGAAAGAATGCCTGCAGGCAGAGACAGGTAGACAGAGCAGAGGACCCGTTTCCAGTGGCAGGAAGGACTAGGTGGAAGACAGCCAGCCTTGCTCTCCGCAGGGCTAGAAAGCTTTGGGGAGATGCCACAGATGTCTGGAGACTGTCCCTAGAGTGGCAAGGACAAGAGGAGGCAGGGCTCAGTTAGACAGCAGCCTGGAAAGGGGAAGCCTCTCCAAGCCACCCTCCAGGGCCCCGCTCCCACCTGTCTCCGCCCCCCACTCTCTAGCCATGTGGTCTTGCCCAGGCCGTGCCTCCACTCCGTTAAGCAGGACTGGACCTCCCTGCCGCCTGCCCTGCAGGCTGTAGAAATGATTCAGACTTCAGGAGCCGAGGCAGCCAGCTCTTCCTGATAGAAAAGGTGCTTCAGGAAATGTTGGAGATAAAAACCAGTGCCTAGGCCAGGCTTGGTGACTCATGCCGGTAATTCCAATACTTTGGGAGGCCGATACAGGCAGATCACAAGGTCGGAAGATCGAGATCAGCCTGGCCAACATAGTGATTTTTAAAAAAAATTTTTTAAAAATTAGCCAGGTGTGGTGGTGGGCACCTGTAATCCCAGCTACTAGGGAGGCCGAGGCAGGAGAATCGCTTGAACCCAGGAGGTGGAGGTTGCAGTGAGCTGAGATGGCACCACTGCACTCCAGCCTGGGCACAGAGTGAGCCCCGTCTCAAAACAAAAAAGCAGCTACAGTGTGGCTGGTGCTGTTGGAGTTTGAAAACAGCGTTCTTCACTGTGCTGGGTGGTACTGGGACTGGGTATGGGGGGGCTGGGGGTCTTCACTGAGTTGCCCGGGGTGCAGGGCCAGGGCGGGGGACTGCACCATGGGAGGGATCCTTACTGCAGGGTGCTGGCTGCTGGGGTCCTGTCCAGGGGAAGCCCCCCGTGCAGTGGGGTTCAGCAGGCTGGTGCAGCTGCAGACCTTGGCCAGCTGGTCCTAGGGGAGCCAGGATGCCAGAGGCCAGGTGAGCAGAAGGAGCCTGAGCCATTGTTCTCCTTTGAGGGAGGGGCTGCCTTGCTGTGAGGATGGGGGTTGTTGAACAGAACCGTGCAGCCCTGTGAGGAAGGGCTATGCAGCGAGCCATGAGAACAGCCCACTCTCCACGTGACCTGGGAGGGGGAGTTCCTCTTTTCTAGACCTCAGTTTCCCCTCTAGGAATGGGGCAGGGAGGGGCTGGACTGGAGGGGCTGGAAGGACCCTCTTGGCTCTGATCCTATCTCAAGATGAGCCAAGACTCCCTTGGCTCGTCTTCCTTAATCTGCGTGGGGTGGGGTAGAGGGGTAGAGGCATTTGGGATCAAACCGTCCATTCTGTGACCTGAGAGAGGCCTGAGGACACATCCAGACTTCGGTGGGGACCTGGGTGGGCACTTCGGGAAGATGCTACCAGGCTCCCCTGAGGCCCCTGCTGACCCTCCTCTCTTGTCTCCTCATGGCTCTGTGGCTGCCTGGATCCTGCAGAGCTCCCGACCGAGGAAGGTAAGGCTGGCACTGGGAGGCTGGCACCAGGGTGGGCCACCAGGCCACAAGACAGCTTTCCTGGGTAGTTCACTGTCAGATTGTGACTCCCTCTCCCAGCAAGGGAGGTCTTGCTGAGTGCCCCAGGATCACCCACCTGTGCCTCTCAGTGACCTGGGTTCTCCGTCTTCCGAGTGCAAGAGAGAACAGGCCGGGAGGTCTCCGAGGCCACCGCAGCTCTGAGTGGGAAGGGTCAGTGGTGGGGGCCAGCCTCACGCGTGCTCCCCATCCCCAGGGAAGTCCCTGTGGGAGCTGGTGCTGGAACAGTTTCAGGACCTCCTGGTGCGAATCCTGCTGCTGGCCGCCCTGGTCTCCTTTGTAAGTACCGCCCTGCCTGCCACCCCGTGGTTGGGGGTAACCTGGAGGGAGAGCCAGGCTGGGCAGCGCTCAGAGACCCAGGAGCCTAGCCCTGTCCTCCACACTGTGGGGGTCCTGGGCTGGCTCCCCGGCCTTACCTGGCCCTGCCCTGCTCAGACTTCAGCCTCCCTTGCCTGAACCTCATGGACCCTACCCTAGGCTCCTGGCTCCCACCTGACCCCTCGATCCATCTTACCCTCTGGCTCTCAGCCAGCTCTCCAACTCACATCTGCCTCTGCCCTGCCCTGCCCTGCTGGGGACTAGGCCTGCTCTACCTCAGCACTACTGAAATTTTAGACCAGATAATTCTTGTTGGGGTGGGTGAGGGGGCTTTCCACTGTGGGATGTTTAGTGGCATCCCGAGACTCTACCCACCAGATGCCAGCAGCACCTCTCAAGTGTGACCACAAAAATGTCTTGTTTTTTGGAGATAGAGTCTTGTTCTATCGCCCAGGCTGGAGTGCAGTGACACAATCTTGGCTCACTGCAACCTCCAACTCCCAGGTTCATGCAATCCTCCTGCCTCAGCCTCCCAAGTAGCAGGGATTACAGGTGCCCGCCACGACACCTAGCTAAATTTTTTGTATTTCAGTAGAGATGGGGTTTCACTGTGTTTCCCAGGCTGGTCTCGAACTTCTCAGGCAATCTGCCCAGCCTCAAAAATGTCTAAGTAGACATTTTTGTCTACTTACACAGCCAAGCCTGATGGCTCATGCCTGAAATCTCAGCACTGGGGGATGCTGAAGCAGTAAAATCACTTGAGCCCAGGAGTATGGGACCAGCCTGGGCAACATAGGGAGACCCTATCTCCACAAAAAATACAAAATATTAACTGGGTGTGGTGGTGCAGGCCTGTGGTCGCAGCCCCTCTGGAGGTTGAGGCAGGAGAACTGCTTGGGCCTGAGAGGTCAGAGCTGCAGGGAGCCATGATCACACCACCGCGTTCCAGCCTAGGCAACAAAGCAAGACCCTCTCTCAAAAATATAAACATGTCTTTGGACATTGCCAAATGTCCCTGGGGGGCACATTGCCCTGCCTGAGTGCTGCTGCCATAACCTCTCCTGTGGCTCCCAGTGCCCCCCAGGTGGACTTGGGGCCTGAACCTCTGGCAGCCTCCTCCCGGCTGCTGCCTCCTCTTGCTCTTCCTTCATTCCTGCTGATGCTCCGCTGGCCACCGTGCTTTGAATACGTGCATCAGAATCACCTGGGCTTGGCTGGGTGCGGTGGCCCACGCCTGTAATCGTAGCACTATGGGAGGCTGAGGCTGGTGGAACACCTGAGCTCAGGAGTTCGAGACCAGCCTGGGCAACATGGTGAAACCCCGTCTCTACTAAAATACAAAAAAATTAGACTGGCATGGTGGCGCACACCTGTAGTCCCAGCTACCTGGGAGGCTGAGGCATGAGAATTGCTTGAACCTGGGAGGCGGAGGTTGCAGGGAGCTGAGAACGAGTCACTGCACTCCAGCCTGGGCAACAGAGCAAGGCTCTGTCTCCCCCACCAAAAAAAAAAAAAAAAAGAATCTTTAGGCTCTTTGACACACAGATGACGGGCCCCACCCCAGAATTTCTCACTAAGGAGATCTGGAATGGGCCCCGACCTCCTCATTTCTTTTCCTTTTTTTTTTTTTTGAGACGGAGTTTTGCTCTTATTGCCCAGGCTGGAGTGCAATGGCTCAATCTTGGCTCACTGCAACCTTCGTCTCCTGTTTCAAGCCATTCTTCTGCCTCCACCTTCTTAGTAGCTGGGATTACGGGCGCCCAACACCACACCCGACTAATTTTGTATTTTTAGTAGAGACAGGGTTTCTCCATGTTGGTCAGGCTAGTCTTGAACTCCTAACCTCAGGTGATTCACCTGCCTCAGCCTCCCAAAATGCTGGGATGACAGGAGTGAGCCATCCTGCCCGGCCGAGAACTACATTTCTTACCAGTTCTCAGGCGCTGCTGCTGCTGGTCTGGGGACCACACTGAGCAGCTGTGCTCCAGACAGACAGTAAGGCCTCGGTGGGCAGCCCTACAACTGCCCCACACCCTTGAAGGTTGGCCCGGGTGGGGTGGTCACTCCTGTGCGGCGGGCATCCTTCTCAGAGAAGTGGCCCTCTCCAAGCCCAAGGCTCCACAGTGGCATCTTCCCAAAGCAGGACAGCAGACAGGAGGTAGGGGGTGCCAAGGAAAAGGACAGCAGACCCCATCCCGCAGCAGGGCCCAAGCTCACCCACTGTGACCCTGCAGGTCCTGGCCTGGTTTGAGGAGGGCGAGGAGACCACAACCGCCTTCGTGGAGCCCCTGGTCATCATGCTGATCCTCGTGGCCAATGCCATCGTGGGCGTGTGGCAGGTGGGAGGTGCTGGGGCGGGACCGGGTCAGGGGTCTCCCAGCCACTAGGAGTGCCCCCACCTGGTGCCAGAGAACTGCAGGCCCTTCTGCTTCTGGCTCCATCCCAGGCCCCAGGGAGTCGCTCTACGGGGGTGGCCTGCAGGAGTTGGGCAGCGGGGACAGACCGCCCGCCTGCCTTCTGCCCTGCAGGAATGCAACGCTGAGAGTGCCATCGAAGCCCTGAAGGAGTATGAGCCTGACATGGGCAAGGTGATCCGCTCGGACCGCAGGGGCGTGCAGAGGATCCGCGCCCGCGACATCATCCCAGGGGACATTGTAGAAGTGGCAGGTATGCCAGGGGCCTCCTCCTTTTATTCTATTGTCTTTTATTTCTGAGACGGAGTCCCGCTCTGTTGCCCAGACTGGAGTGCAGTGGCACGATCTCGCTCTGTTGCCCAGACTGGAGTGCAGTGGTACAATCTCAGCTCACTGCAACCTCCGGCCTCCCAGGTTCAAGCAATCTTCCTGCCTCAGCCTCCCCTAGGGGCCTCCTCCTTTTATTTTATTTTATTTTTACTTATTTATTTTTTTGAGATGGAGTCACAATCTGTCACTCAGACTAGAGTGCAGTGGCAGGATCTCGGCTTACTGCAACCTCCGGCCCCCCAGGTTCAAGCAGTCCTCCTCCCTTAGCCTCCCATAGGGGCTTCCTCCTTTTATTATGTGGGCCTGAGAGCCCCATCCGTCTCTGTGCTTCCATTCTGGCTGTTTATATAGAGGGGGTGGCCGTCAGATCCCTCCAAAGCCCTTTGGCCAAAACCCCATTGGACAGATGAGACTGTGGGCCAGAGGGACAGGGGTCCACCAGAGCCACCACAGCTCAGGCACCCAGCGCCCAGCCCTGGCCTTCAGTCCTGGGAACCCTTCTGGCTTTTCCCAGCCAGTGGTGCCCAAAGCCACCCTCAGCCAAGCCATTCTCCGTGCACAGTAGGGGACAAGGTGCCTGCTGACCTCCGCCTCATCGAGATCAAGTCTACCATGCTGAGAGTGGACCAGTCCATCCTGACGGGTGAGGCCCCCCCGGAGGCTGGGACTTTGTGGGTCTGGACCAGGGGATGGGCGTGTCTTCATGTGAGGCTTCTCATCTCTAACTTCGTGACCAGGTGAATCTGTGTCGGTGACCAAGCACACAGAGGCCATCCCAGACCCCCGCGCTGTGAACCAGGACAAGAAGAACATGCTGTTTTCTGTAAGTCTCTGAAACGTCTGGGGCCTTTGCCCAGACAATGATAAAAATAATATTAAGATTATTACTTATTTTCCAGCCCTGTTGTCCAGGTTGGAGTGCAGGGGCACAATCTTAACTCATCGCAACCCCTGCTTCCCAGGTTCAAGCTACTTTTGTGCCTCAGCTTCCCAAGTAGCTGGGACTGTAAGCGCATGCCATCATGCCCAGCTAATTTTTATTTTTAAGAGTCTTGCTCTATCACCCAGGCTGGAGCGCAGTGGCCCAATCTTGGCTCACTGCAACCTCTGCCTCTTGGGTCCAAGCGATTCTCCTGCCTCAGCCTCCTGAATATCTGGGATTACAGCCACCACACCCGGACAATTTTTGTATTTTTAGTAGAGATGGGGTTTCACCATGTTGGTCAGGCTGGTCTCAAACTCCTGACCTTGTGATCCGCCTGCCTCAGCCTCCCCAAGTGCTGGGATTAGAGGCGTGAGCCACTGCGCCCAGCCTGACATTAGGATTAATCAGCTAAAGTCCTACAGGGAAGAACCTTATCAATTTTTGACAAGACATGCAAGTTTATAGTAATAATCATAGCTTGTGTTTACTGGGGGTGACGTGCCTGGCACTGTTCTAAGCCCTTTACTCATATTGGTTAATTTAATCCTTACACCAACTATTTGAAGCAAGTACTCTTGTTATCCTTGTTACCTATATTTTCCAGCAAAGTTGCCCAAGTTCACATAGCCAGTGAGTGGCAGAGCTGGGACGAACGCAGACATCCTGACTCTAGAACTTATCTGCTGGGAGACCCTGCTTTCTTCTGGAAGGGCAGAGCCTCCCTATAATCACCCAGCAGAAATCCTCTAGAGGAAAGAGGTCGGCCAAAGTGGCGGAAGATGGTGGGAACAGTCCCCTCTCAGATAGGAAAACCAACCCACAATGCATGGTGCCTGGTCGACCCGGCTCTTCTCAGGGTTGATCTTTGGCGGGAGAGATCTGCCTCTGTGGCTTCAGAGAAAGTTAGCAAGTGATACTTACACCTGCCCAGCAACAGCCTGAGACTAGCAAGAAGCATTTGGGGCCACAAGGAGGGGTCAGGCCAATGAGACAATGGCCCAGGCCACCAAGTTATAAGGGGATAGAAAACTTCCTGGAAGTGAAGAGGGATCGAGAAAGTGAAACTCACCCAGAACTCTTCTGTTTTGAAACAGAGTGTCACTCTGTCACCTAGGCTGGAGTGCAGTGGAGCAATCATGGCTCACCGCAACCCACCTCCTGGGTTCAAGCAATACTCCCGCCTCAGCCTCCCATGTAGCTGGGATTACAGTTGCCCGCCACCATGCCAGGCTAATTTTTGTATTTTTAGTAGAGCGGGGTTTCACCATGTTGGTCAGGCTGGTCTCAAACTCCTGACCTCAGGTGATCTGCCAGCCTGGGCCTCCCAAAGTGCTGGGATTACAGGCGTGAGCCACCGTGCCTGGCCAATCCCTGCCTTCTTAGAGCTGCACTATCATGGGAAGGCAGTAGTGACCCTATACATAGCTACCGAAGTCTGGAAGCACTAGTGAGACCCACAAAAAGCAAGCCAGGCAGAAGGATAAGTGGCTTACTCCGGCCTGAGGGAGTTAGGGGTCTTGGGCCCATGGTTGGCCTCTGAGCAGCTTTTTCCTTGTCTCTCCCTTGGCCCAGGGCACCAATATCGCATCAGGCAAAGCAGTGGGTGTGGCAGTGGCCACGGGCCTGCACACAGAGCTGGGCAAGATCCGGAGCCAGATGGCGGCGGTGGAGCCCGAGCGGACCCCACTGCAGCGCAAGCTGGATGAGTTTGGGCGGCAGCTGTCCCATGCCATCTCCGTGATCTGTGTGGCCGTGTGGGTCATCAACATCGGCCACTTTGCTGACCCAGCCCACGGTGGCTCCTGGCTGCGCGGTGCTGTCTATTACTTCAAGATCGCTGTGGCCCTGGCCGTGGCCGCCATCCCCGAGGGCCTCCCGGCTGTCATCACTACCTGCCTGGCACTGGGCACGCGGCGCATGGCACGCAAGAATGCCATCGTGCGAAGCCTGCCCTCTGTGGAGACCCTGGGCTGCACCTCAGTCATCTGCTCTGACAAGACGGGCACGCTCACCACCAATCAGATGTCTGTCTGCCGGGTGAGTGACGGCCAGCTTGGTGTTGCTGTGCATCGCTGGCAGACTGGGCTCTCTCTGTGGGTCTCTCCCCAACCTCCTTTTAGGTGAGGGATGGAGGAGATAACCTGTGGGCTGTCCCTTGGCACAGAGCAGGTCCAGGTTTTCATGAGATGACAGGGAGGCTATCGCAAACTATGGCTGGTGGCCACATGTCACTGAGTCCTGTGCGTAACTGTGGGGCCCTGGCCAGGTTGCTGACAGTCTGTGAACCTCAGTCTCATCAGAAGCCTGGCTGTGTGAGCCCTGCTAGTAACCATAAAGGACGCAGGAGAGGCTCAACTTCAGCCTCGGTGTAGGCGCCATGCTGGCCCAGACCCGGGTTCCATCCTGCCCCAACATGATTCTGTACAGTCCATGCCCGTCACCAGATAAGCCAGCTTCAGTAACCTGGGAAGGGCCAGGGCAGGAATTATTCATTCCTGGGCACTTGATCCCACATCCTGGGCCCGCTGCCTACATTGCCAAGGGATTCTTGCTGAGACTTCAGCCGGCCCATGGGGCAGAAGGCTCCTCCTGACCCAGCAGGTGGGTGGATGTGGAGATGGTAAAAGGCTAGGGGTTCTCCACCCTTCCAGGTCCCCCACGGCCCCTCTGTCACCCCTGCTTCCACAACTGCCCACTGGGCTTGGAAACCCAGGCTCTCTATTCTGAGACCCTAAGGCCCCTCTAGGAGCCCATCAGCGGCCGCCGTAGGGGAGGGTGCTAACCAGCTTTACTGTCCTGCTAAAAGCCCTAGTAGGATTTTATTTAAACAGAGTCTTTCTTGACTAGCAACAATTTTTTTTTTTGAGACAGAGTCTCATGCTGTTGTCCAGGCTGGAGTGCAGTGACATGATCTGAGCTCATTGTAATCTCTGCCTCCTGGGTTCAAGCGACTCTCCTGCCTCAGCCTCCCAAGTAACTGGGACTATAGGCGTGCGCCACCACACCTGGCTAATTTTTGTATTTTAGTAGAGACAAGATTTCTCCATGTTGGCCAGGCTGGTCGGTAACTCCTGACCTCAGGTGATCCGCCCACCTTGGCCTCCCAAAGTGCAGGGATTACAGGCCTGAGCTACCATGCCCAGCCCTAATTAAGTTTTTTTTTTTTTTTTTTTTTTTTTGAGACAGTCTCACTCTGTCAGCAGGCTGGAGTTCAGTGGCATAATCTCGGCTCACTGCAACCTCTGCCTCCCCAGTTCAAGCAATTCTCCTGCCTCAGCCTCTGAATAACTGGGATTACAGGTGCCTGCCACCATGCCTGGCTAATTTTTGTATTTTAGTAGAGACAAGATTTCACCATGTTGGCCAGGCTGGTCGGTAACTCCTGACCTCAGGTGATCCGCACTCCTTGGCCTCCCAAAGTGCAGGCATTACAGGCCTGAGTCACAGCATCCAGCCCTAATAAAGATTTTTAAAGCTCTGTGTAGGGAAGTTGTAGAGGCCTCATGTGCTGGATGCTGGGCTGTGCTTGCTGGGGGACTGCCGCAGGAGCAGGCAGGAGAGTGGGAAGGAAGGGGCATTGATTATGCATCTCCTGGGTGCTGGGCTGGCCATTTGCTTGAAAATGTGCAGCAAAGTCATGTCCAGAAGCAAGAACCATCTCCCCAGCAGAGCTGGCCAAACAGACAAAGAAATAGGCACCCTGGGCCCAGTAAGCCCCTGTCCCTGAGGTGCACAGGTAGGGGCTGGGTGATCAGCAGGCCTGTGTCGGGGCTCACTCTCTGACATCTCTGGGCTAGAGGGGTCTGTGCCTCAGAGCAGCCTGTTGCTTTCCTCCCCTGAAGGCCAGGAACTCATATCCTTGAAGGCAAAAGAGGGATGATTTCCATGTTACCCGGGGAGAAACGGGGGCTCAGCTGTTTGGTCAGGGGTCACAGTGAGATGAGCAGGCTTTCTGCCTAGCTCAGGGCTCCCTCAAGCTGGCAGCTGCCCCCAGGGAATGGAAGAATCTGCCATAAATCCCTCAGAAGCCCAGGACTTTTGGACAAACCGGAGTGGGACACACCTGGGCAGAGCAGACAGTCCCCACCTGAGCCTGGACACTGCCTTCTGTCTCCCTCGTGGTGGGGACGGATGCCCAGGCCGATTTGGCTCTTAGTGGGGTAGGGGGCCTGGAGGAACCCACCCAGGGGTCAGGCTTTATTCACACTGGCCGCCCAGGAAGGAAGGAGGCGACCCCTCCCCAGCCTGAGCATGCCCCTGCGCTCCCCAGATGTTCGTGGTAGCCGAGGCCAAAGCGGGCTCCTGCCTTTTGCACGAGTTCACCATCTCGGGTACCACCTATACCCCCGAGGGCGAAGTGTGAGTTCCGGGCCCGGGAACTGGTGGGCGGGGCGGCCTGGGGGCGGGGCCTCCCGAGGTATCCGTGGGAGTCCCCGGAGACGGGGTCAAGAGGCGGAGCCCCTTCCTGAGGCGGGGCCAAGGTCCTCGTAGTGACCCCCTCCGGATCCGCAGGCGGCAGTGGGAGCGGCCGGTGCGCTGCGGCCAGTTCGACGGGCTGGTGGAGCTGGCGACCATTTGCGCCATGTGCAACGACTCAGCGCTGGACTACAACGAGGTGGGCCCCACCCCTTTTCATGACCTTCCTAGTATCCAGGCCACCCAGACAGACCCTTTTCCCAGCCTCAAAGCTCCCAGGGTTGGCGGCCCTTGCCCCCTGGGAGTGCCACACCCAGGAAGCATGGTAACCCCGGTGCACCCCTCTCCGCTGCCCCTCCCTTTCTTCAGACAGGCTTCAGAACCCTCCCTCTGGGGCTCCAGGGCTGTTGGGGACTGCCATGGAAAGGGCTGAAGGGCTGGGGATACCTGGTGGGGAGAAGAGATTTGGGGAACAGGACCAAGAAAGTGTTTAAAGCAGCCGAGCGCATTGGCTCGTGCCCGTAATCCCAGCACTTTAGGAGGCCAAGGCGGTCGGATCACGAGGTCAGCAGTTCGAAACCAGCCTGGCCAACTTGGTGAAACCCATCTCTACTAAAAATAAATAAATAAAAAATTAGTTGGGCGTGCTGTCACTCGCCTGTAATCCCAGCTACTAGAGACATTGAAGCAGGAGAATCACCCGAACCCGGGAGCTGAGTTTGCAGTGAGCAGAGATCATGCCACTGCACTCCAGCCAGGCCGACAGAACGAGACTGTCTCAAAAAAAAAAGTGTTTAAAGCAGAAGACACAGCCCACAAAAGGCCCACATTCAGTTAAAGCCTCTGTGACTTCGGCATTGACCACCGTTCACGTGGCTGCAGCAGTGGAATGGGGCATGTGGCAGGATGCATCTGCTCAAGGGAGGTCCTTGGCCAGGCCCAGTCTGCTCCAAGGCCAAACTGGGGGCAGTAGAACATCACTTGAGTAGTAGAGTTACACGGTCAGATGAGCATTCACCGCAGCTTCTGTGTGGAGGACAGACAAACAGGACCGGAGCCGGGGAGGGCTGTGTGGTCATTTAGGCCAGAGAGATGCTGGCTGAGCCCTGGCTGGAACCTCAGGGAGAGGGGAGAAAGCATGGGTCAGCGACATTTAGGAGCCGAGAATCCTGTGGCTCAGTGACTGGTTAGTGAAAGAGAGAGGGAGGAGGCCGGGGTGGCTCCTGGTTGCTGTCCTGGCTGGGGCTGTGTCTGGAGTGGCAACTACAGGGAGTGGGAGAGGTGGCTTGAGTGGCCCCCAGAGAACAAGGTTCAGCAGGCAGCGAGCGGTTGGACATGTGGGCTTGGAGCTCAGCAAGGGATCTTGGCGGGGTATGCACAGGCAGTCATGAGCACGTGGAGCTGGAGGCAGGAGGCACGTGGTCCCAGCGAGAGCAGGTGGGAGGGTAGGAGCAGGCCCAGACAGCAGACACCCAAAGGAGGCTGGCAGAAAGTGGACAGAGATGCAGGCGGAGGGCAGGGAGGGTGTGTGGCCATCGATGCTGGGTGGGAGGCTAGATGTCAGTATCAGACACCACCCTGACCCCAGGGCGGCCAGGCTGGGAAGGACTCACAGGCCCACACACAGGAGGTTACACGGAACTCCAGCAAAGGCAGCGTCCAGGGCAAAGAGTGAGTGAGGCTGGGGACGCTGGCTAGAGGCGGCCTGCCCTTCACTCCTATCCCCCAATCCTTGCCAGGCCAAGGGTGTGTACGAGAAGGTGGGAGAGGCCACGGAGACGGCTCTGACTTGCCTGGTGGAGAAGATGAACGTGTTCGACACCGACCTGCAGGCCCTGTCCCGGGTGGAGCGAGCTGGTGCCTGCAATGCGGTGAGCGGGGATGGGGCTTCTGGGACATCTGGAGAAGGCAGAGAGAACACCAAAGGCTTTTCTCTTTTAATGAAAGCATTTATTATGTCTCCAAAGATAAATGTGTAATATATTACACATGAAAAACTAACAAAGAGAGTTTCGCTCTTATGGCCCAGGCTGGAGTGCAATGGCTCGATCTCAGCTCACCACAGCCTCTGCCTCCCGGGTTGAAGCAATTCTCTTGCCTCAGCCTCCCGAGTAGCTGGGATTACAGGCATGTGCCACCATGCCCGGCTAATTTTTGTATTTTTAGTAGAGATGGGGTTTCACTCTGTTAGTAAGGCTGGTCTCAAACTCCTGACCTCAGGTGATCCGCCCACCTCAGCCTCCCAGAGCACTGGGATTACAGGCATGAGCCACTGCACCTGGCTGACAGTGAAGTCTGGGGAGGCTTTTGGGAGGAGGAAGGACATCTAAATCCTAGTAAGACTTGGCTAGGGAGCAAAGCGGGGAGAAGGCTGAGTGTGGACAAGGGTTTGGAGTTGGGCTGCACACAGCGTGGTCAGGGAATGGCAACTGACTGCCATTTCTGGGGCTGGAGAGGAAAGTGGGGGCCTTAAATGGCAGAGTCAGAGGAGTATAGATGTTACCCCACAGATGGCAAGAGGCCTTCTGGGGGCCAGGCAGTTGGTGGGAGAGCAGGCGAGGGTCGCTGGCTCTGTCCTTCCTGCCCTGACCTACCTGGACCTGCAGGTCATCAAGCAGCTGGTTCGGAAGGAGTTCACCCTGGAGTTCTCCCGAGACAGGAAGTCCATGTCGGTGTACTGCACGCCCACCCGCCCCCATGCTGTGGTCCAGGGCAGCAAGATGTTTGTGAAGGTGGGGCTGCCCGTCCGGCCTGTGCCCCTGCACACCAAGGGAAACCTGGCCATCCAAGCTCCTCTGTGGGCCCGTCTCCCTGCGAATGGCAGGGTTGGTTTAGAAGTTCTCAGGAGCCCCTTTTGCCTCTAACTGGTGGAATACCCTTGGTGTTCTGTGTTTTGGAAACTGAGTCCCAGGGAGGGAAAGGAATCAGCCCCCGTGCACATCACCGTCTGCGGCATCTCCCGTTGCTGCTCCCAGACACGAGGCGGGACACACAGCTCAAGCTTCACCCTGCACGGGAGCTGTTAGCTCCTTTTGAAATGAAATGGCTTCTGTGCTGGGAGCTCCAACCATTGTGAAAAGTTAATTTCTGGGTGACCTTTCAGGAGCAGGAGAAGCCATTGAAGGAGCTTGAAAGGCTCTTCCTAGACCCGGGGTGAGGTCTGGGGTGAGACCTGAGGCCACTGAAGGGCCTGTCTCCCCTGGACCTCCTTCCCAGTGCTGTGCGCTGCCACACCTTGTATGCGGCTCTGTTTCTGGTCCCCTGCAGGGCTCAGCCTGCCTCCCTGCTGCTGAGGCTACTACCCAGTTGGAACCAGTGTAGCACCAGGGAGGCTGGGCCGGCAGGGACGCCATTCCCACCCCACCTGCAAAGCCGAACCAAGCCAAGCCCTCCCCTACTCCTATGGGCTGGCAGGGGAGGGCTTCACTTGGTTGGTGGCTGAACCCACCCCAGCACCCTCCCCACCCCATTCCCTTTAGATTGTCTCACAGGGGGGCCCACTTGGTTCTCATGCTGAATTTACTTTATTTATTTATTTATTTATTTTGAGACGGAGACTCGCACTGTTGCCAGGCTGGAGTGCAGTGTTGTGATCTCGGCTCACTGCAACCTCTGCCTCTGGGGTTCAAGCGATTCTCCTGCCTCAGCCTCCCGAGTAGCTGGAACTACAGGCACGCACCACCACACCCAGCTAATTTTTGTATTTTTAGTAGAGATGGGGTTTCACCATGTTGGGCAGGGTGGTGTCGATCTCTTGACCTCATGATCCGCCCGCCTCAGCCTCCCAAAGTGCTGGGATGACAGGCGTGAGCCACTGCACCCAGCCCTTTGAACTTTCAAATAATGGATTCTGGTCCCTGCCTTGCGCCTGTAGCACTGGGTGGCCTTTCCCCTTATCTGGGTCTAGTTTCCTGAGTTTGGGCAGGAGGGAGGGGAGGGGCCCTGACTGATATGCTGCCTCCTTTCCCGCTCCTGCCTTGCAGGGGGCTCCTGAGAGTGTGATTGAGCGCTGTACCTCAGTCCGAGTGGGCAGCCGCACAGCACCCCTGACCCCCACCTCCAGGGAGCAGATCCTGGCAAAGATCCGGGATTGGGGCTCTGGCTCAGACACGCTGCGCTGCCTGGCCCTGGCGACCCGGGACGTGCCCCCGAGGAAGGAGGACATGGAGCTGGACGACTGCAGCAAGTTTGTGCAGTACGAGGTGGGTGCGGGGCCGATCCTCCCTGGGCAGATGGCAGGTCAGGGATGGGCGTCGGCCCCACGTGAATCTGTCTCCTCCCTACAGACGGACCTGACCTTCGTGGGCTGCGTGGGCATGCTGGACCCGCCGAGGCCTGAGGTGGCTGGCTGTATTGCACGCTGCCGCCAGGCGGGCATCCGCGTGGTCATGATCACCGGGGATAACAAAGGCACTGCTGTGGCCATCTGCCGCAGGCTCGGCATCTTTGGGGACACGGAGGACGTGGTGGGCAAGGCCTACACGGGCCGCGAGTTTGATGACCTCAGCCCCGAGCAGCAGCGCCATGCCTGCCGCACCGCATGCTGCTTTGCCCGTGTGGAGCCCACACACAAGTCCCGCATCGTGGAGAACCTACAGTCCTTTAACGAGATCACTGCCATGGTGAGGGCACAGCCTGGAGCCCAGGAGAGGCTGACGAGCGGGGCCACAGGGCGCAGAAAGAGCAAGCTGGGCAGCGCTCCCCTCGGCCTCATGCTTAGCTTTCCTAACGCCTTGTTAGTATCTTATTTGTTTATTTATTGAGACAGAGTCTTGCTCTGTGGCCCAGGCTAGAGTGCAGTAGCGTGATCTTGGCTCACTGCAGCCTCTGCCTCCTGGGTTCAAGCGATTCTCCTGCCTCAGCCTCCTGAGTAGCTGGGCTTACAGGCACCCACCACCACACCCAGCTAATTTTGTAATTTTTTTTTTTAGTAGAGACAGGGTTTCACCGTGTTGGCCAGGCTGGTCTCAATTTTTTGACCTTGTGATCCACCCACCTCAGCCTTCCAAGTGCTGGGATTACAGGCGTGAGCCATGGCGCCCGGCCTTCTAACATGTTATTACCAAAAAATTCAAATACAAAGAGAGATTTAAATAATGTTTCTTTGAGCCAGGTGCCCAGAACGCTGACCTCCAGACTCACCCAGTCCTTTTCCTTGACCTTAACCCTGACCCATGGCCCAGCCTTGATCTTCATGCCAGCCTTGACTGCAGCTGTGACCTGGTTCTTGATCCTATCTCTGACAGCTATGCGGATTTGCCCCTGACCTTGCTGTTGACACTCATCTTAATGTAATATTTGTGTGTGTGTGATGAGGTCTCACTCTGTTGCCCGGGCGGGAGTGCAGTGGCACAGTCATGGCTCAAGGGATCCTCCCACCTCAGTGTCCTGAGCAGCTGAAACTATAGACACACACCACCACGCTGCCTAATTTTTTAATTTTTTGTAGCGATGGGGTCTCTGTATGTCACCCAGGCTAGTCTTGAACTCCTGAACTCAAGCAATCCTCCTGCCTTGGCCTCCCACAGTACTAGGATTGCAAGTATGGGTCGCCACACCCAGCCTGACCTAACTGTTTACTTTGAGCTTAACTCTGATATAGATTTAAGTCTTGACCTGGACCAAGACCTGATTCCCAGCACTGACCTTGACACCACCTCATCCCCAATGTAATACTTTATGTTAACTTCAACTTTGACCTGGCTTTCAATCTTGACCTTGAATCAACTCCAGACTTAATACCACTTGACATCACTCCTCATGTGGACCTGGACTTGGCCTCTGACTTTGACCTGACCTTCAACTTTTTTCTTTTGAAATGGAATCTCACTCTGTCACCAGGCTGGAGTGCCATAGCGCCATCTCCGCTCACTGCAACCTCCACCTCCCAGGTTCAAGCAATTCTCCTGCCTCAGCCTCCTGAGTAGCTGGGCTTACAGGCTCACACCACCACACGCAGCTAATTTTTGTATTTTTAGTAGAGACGGGGTTTCACCATGTTGGCCAGGATGGTCTCGATCTCCTGACCTTGTGGTCTGCCCGTCTCCACCTCCCTAAGTGCTGGGATCACAGGTGTATGCCACCCCACCCCATCGTCTTCCCTGACCTCATACCCGATATTCTTGCCAACTTTGTCCTCGTGTGCTCCCCTTGCCTTTCCCTTAGTCCATCCTCAGCCCGATTTCTAAGTTCATTCTAGAACCCACCACGTGTCCTGTCCAGCTGCCTGCTTCCTCCAGGACATCCCCTAAGAGCGGGGAAGGGCTGAGTTGAGAAGAGAGGGGGAGGTGGGAGGGAAGTTTCTCAGGCACAGCCCCACCTGACCTGACCCACAGACGGGTGATGGTGTGAACGACGCTCCAGCCCTGAAGAAGGCAGAGATCGGCATCGCCATGGGCTCAGGCACTGCCGTGGCCAAGTCGGCAGCAGAGATGGTGCTGTCAGATGACAACTTCGCCTCCATCGTGGCTGCGGTGGAGGAGGGCCGGGCCATCTACAGCAACATGAAGCAGTTCATCCGCTACCTCATCTCCTCCAACGTTGGCGAGGTTGTCTGGTGAGGCCGGGGATTTCCTCCTCGCAGCCCACTCCATCCTCTCTGTGCCCGAGACTGGGAAAATGCCCATTCCTGCGACGGGGTTGCATGGATGGAGGGACCTGTGCGCTGCCCTGGCTGGGGCCTCCCAGGGTCCCACCTTGGATTGGGCAGGGGAGAGGGCATCTGGTTATTCCCCAGAGGCCCTGATGACCTATGGATCATGGTCACCCCAGCACCCAGGAGGAGCCTGAAGAGCCGCCTCTCAGCCCTCCAGCCATGAACTTCCACTTTTAGATTAGCAAGATGAGAGAAACCCCCCTTTAGGCAGGAATGTATGTGTCCATGTGTGAATGTGTATTTGTATGCACAGGCGTGAGTGCCTGAGTGAGGTGTGTGTGACATGTATATGTATGCGTGTGTGCTCTTGTGCATTTTGAGTGTATGAGCAGAAGTTTGTGCCGGTGTGTGACTGTGTACACACTCGTACTCACGTGTGAGGATGCGTGTGGGGAATGGTGAGCATATGTGCTGCTGGACACGTGTAGATTCTGCATCTCTGCACCTCAGGGCAGACGTGTAGGTGTTTGTGTTTGCAGGATTGTGTGGCATGTGCCAGGTTTTTGCACGTCTGATGCTTTGGCATGCCCTTTTCACGCGCCTGTGTGTATGTGTGTGTGCACTTGGCTTTTGCTAGGTCTAAAGAGCAGATATGGGGCCGGACACGGTGGCTCACGCCTGTCATCCCAGCACTTTGGGAGGCCAAGGTGGGAAGATCACGAGGTCAGGAGAACGAGACTATCCTGGCCAATATGGTGAAACCCTGTCTCTACTAAAAATATAAAAATTAGCCAAGCATGGTGGTGTGCACCTGTAATCCCAGCTACTTGGGAGGCTGAGGCAGTAGAATCGCTTGAACCTGGGAGGCAGAGGCTGCAGTGAGCCGACATGGCACCATTGCACTCCAGCCTGGGCAGCAGAGCAAGACTCTGTCTCAAAAAAAAAGAGCAGATATGTCCAGGATCCAGAGCTGGGACTGGGGAAGGCAGGGTTGGCCAGGCCTGAGGCAGAGCCGTGTACACATGCCCTTCACATCAGAGCTAGCAGAGGGAGGAAGGGCCGCTGTGGAGGCAGTGGGTGAGCTCCCAGCCTGGGGTCTGAGCAAGAGCTGGAGCCTCCATCTGGTGGGTGCCAGGCCTGCTGGGGGCTAGAGCCCATGACTCTGTTCCAGCATCTTCCTCACGGCAATTCTGGGCCTGCCCGAAGCCCTGATCCCTGTGCAGCTGCTCTGGGTGAACCTGGTGACAGATGGCCTGCCTGCCACAGCGCTGGGCTTCAACCCGCCAGACCTGGACATCATGGAGAAGCTGCCCCGGAACCCCCGAGAAGCCCTCATCAGCGGCTGGCTCTTCTTCCGGTACCTGGCTATTGGAGGTGAGTGGGCTGAGTGCAACATGGAATTCCTAAGCTTCCCAAGAGCCTAGTATCAGGCTTGCAAGCTGTGACAGTGTGCCTCAGCCTGGCTAGGCCAGTAGAAACTGCATGGGCTCATGCAACCAAAAAGACCAGAGCATACACACCTCAGGCATGGCTGGATCTGGGTCTCTGTGTCACTGGCTCTGCCTCAGCTTCATTCTCAGGCCCGTGACTCTCATGGTGGCAGAATGGCTGCTGCAGCTCCTGCCGTCATGCTCACTCCATTACAACCCCAAATTCAGCAGAAGAGAGAGCCTTTTATCACACTGCTCCCTGGTAGTATGATGAAAGTCCCAGGCCTGGGCTGGGCAGCATTTTGGGAGGCAGAGGTGGGTGGATCACTTGGGGTCAGGAGTTCGGGACCAGCCTGGCCAACATGGTGAAACCCCATCTCTACTAAAAATACAATAATTAGCCAGGCATGATGCCAGGCGCCTGTAGTCCCAGCTACTCGGGAGGCTGAGGCAGGAGAATTGCTTGAACCCTGGGGACGGAGGTTGCAGTGAGCAGAGATGGCGCCATTGCACTCCAGCCTGGGCAACAGAGCAAGACTCTATCTCAAAAAAAAAAAAAAGCCGGGCACGGTGGCTCAAGCCTGTAATCCCAGCACTTTGGGAGGCCAAGGCGGGTGGATCACGAGGTCAAGAGATCGAGACCATCCTGGAGAATTGCTTGAACCCAGGAGGCAGAGGTTGCGGTGAGCCGAGATCACACCATTGCACTCCAGCCTGGGTAACAAGAGCGAAACTCCATCTCAAAAAAAAAAAAGCCTCAGGCCTGTTCTCATCCATCGGCCACCTTGTGTCACCTGCTAATCTCCAGTCACTGTGGCCAAGGGTATGGCCGATGCTGATTGACCAGCGAGGGCCCAGCACAGGCCTCAAGGGTAGGTGCCTGCAACCCACATGGCTTAGAGAGGAAAAGGGTGGCTGCCACCGGGAATTCAGGGAATCAGGAGGCAGGGAAACGGATGCCAGACACCACCCTGTTCTCTACAGCCAGTCTCCTCCCTCTCCCCACAGTGTACGTAGGCCTGGCCACAGTGGCTGCTGCCACCTGGTGGTTCCTGTGTGATGCGGAGGGCCCTCACGTCAACTTCTACCAGCTGGTGAGCAAGGGATGGTTAGGGAGCCTCTTGAACTTCCAGAGCCTCTGGGTGGCCTGCAGCGTCCTTCCCCACTCACTATATACATGTAGACATCCCCACCCAGGGAGCCATGTTCACAGCCCACTGGAAACCCAGAAACACCAGCACAGCCTGCCAAGCCAACAGGCTGCTCCCCATCCCAGTCAGTTAGGAGGGGCAAGGGGCCTGTCAAATCTATCTTACCTTTATCAGGGAAACCCTAAAACATTGAGGCTCCAGAGGAATGAGCCCCTAAATGGTGGGACTTTAGGCAGAGGGTCAAACTGAGGAGATCAAGAATGGAGGGGAGGGCTGGGCGTGGGGGCTCACGCCTGTCATCCCAGCACTTTGGGAGGCCGAGGTAGGCAGATCACCTGAGATCAGGAGTTCAAGACCAGCCTGACCAACATGCTGAAACCCTGTCTCTACTAAAAATACAAAAATTAGCTGGGCGTGGTGGCAGGTGCCTATATCCTAGCTACTCAAGAGGCTGAGGCACGTGAACCTGGGAGGCGGCAGTTGAAGTGAGCAAAGATCACACCACTGCACTCCAGCCTGGGAGACTGAGTGAGACTCTGTCTCAAGAAGAAAAAAAAAAAGAATGGAGGGGAGGCTGGGCACGATAGCTCATGCCTGTAATCTTAGTGCTTTGGGAGGCCAAGGTAGGCGGATCACTTGAGCCCAGGAGTTTGAGACCAGCCTGGGCAGCGTAGTGAGACTCCATCTCTAACAACCAAAAAAAAAAATGGTAAAAATTAGGTACGGTGATGTGTGCCTGTAGTCCCTCCCAGCTACTAAGGAGGCCGAGGTGGGTGGATCACTTGCACCCAGGAGTTTGAGAGCAGAGCAGCCTGGGCAACATGGCCAAACCCTGTCTCTACTAAAAATACAAAAATTACCCAGGCATGGTGGCTCAGGCCTGTAGTCTCAGCTACTTGGGAGGCTGAGGTGAGATAATCACCTGAGCCCAGGATTGAGTTGAGATCGTGTCCTTGCACTCCAGCCTGGGCAATGGGCGTCAGACCCTGTCTCAGAAAAAAAATCAAAAACAACAAAACATGCACTTGCTCCAAATGCTGGGGCTTGAGTTTTGGAGAAACGTCCACTATTGACTTAAGAGATTATCAGATTCTTTATCTCTTTGTTAAAATAAGAAATCCAGCCACGTTTATTTTCCTTCCTGCACGAGAGAGAAGCAAAGATACCCAGAGTGGCCTTGTCTGCATTTGTGCAGTGTGTGAAAACAGATGTGTTTGTGGGACCGACAGTAGATCAGACAGCCGGGCATTTTACAGGTTTTTCTTTGAGGATTATGTTCACAGCACATGGCCCCAGTTTCTAATGTAAAATATCCCTGTGTTCATATTAGACTCCCAAGAGCTGATCTGTATCTTTGGAGAATAAGCCGGTTAACGGTTGGAAACATTCACCCTCATCCCCATAATATGAAAGAACAAGCCAAGTCCCCCAGATGCCCTCAGTTCAGCCTCTTATCTCAGCAGATTCTGTGAACAAGGTTTATGGGCAGAAAGAAAACGCCCCTAGGGTTACAGGGGCAAAGGCGACTTCTTTTATTGACCCTAACGGCTTCTTGTTAATTACAGAGAAGATACCTGTCAAGGCTGCCCCTTGCCATTCATTAGTCTCTGTCAGAAGCAAACGTCAGAGCTGTAGAGCTCAATTTCAGTGGGAGAAATGGAGTGAGGTATGAGGTGTAAATGGAATCTTTTTTGTTTGCTTCTGAGACAGAGTTTAGCTCTTGTTACCCAGGCTGGAGTGCAATGGCATAATCTCAGCTCACAGCAACCTCCACTTCCCGGGTTCAAGCAATTCTCCTGCCTCAGCCTCCCAAGTAGCTGGGATTACAGGCACGCACCACCACGCCTGGCTAGTTTTTATATTTTTAGTAGAGACGGGGTTTCACTGTGTTGGCCAGGCTGGTCTCAAACTCCTGACCTCAGGTGATCCACCTGCCTCGACCTCCCAAAGTGTTGGCATTACAGGCATGAGCCCCCACACCCAGCTGTAAAAGGAATCTCAGTAACAGTGATCGGGGCCTGTGTCCCACACAGGTGAAATTCGTTCACGCAGGGTTTTGTCGGTTGATTTTCACACAAATTTCCTTATTCCGTGGTCTCCAGGGTCCCGCCAGCCTCACCAGGCTAACGCCACATGTTCTCCCTCTGATCACTGCTCCACTGCTCCAGAACTGTCTGCCTTTCCCACTCTGTGCCTTCCTTCTCCCTGGCACGGTGCAGCGCCCTCCACCCTGAGCCCCTTCCGGGATCCCTGGTCCACCCCATGGCAACGTTTTGTGGGCTGCTTTTGCCCAGGCGTGGGCCAAGGGCAGGGTGAGGCTTCCCTCCTCCCACCCAGTGGCCCCCTGCCTGACTTACCACTCTCTCTGACCCGCCACGGTGCCTTCAGAGGAACTTCCTGAAGTGCTCCGAGGACAACCCACTCTTTGCTGGCATTGACTGTGAGGTGTTTGAGTCCCGCTTCCCCACCACCATGGCCTTGTCCGTGCTCGTGACCACTGAAATGTGCAACGCCCTCAACAGGTGGGCTGGGCGCAGGGCCTGGAGCTGGGGCTGAGGAGTGAGGGGCTGAGGGTTGGGAGTTCCAGCATTGGTGTCTGAGCGGCAGGGCCCAGGATTAGAGTCTGTGGGTCAAGAGGGTCCAGGGTTGGGGTCTGATGTTTGGGGGGTGGTCAGGATTGGGATCAGAGGTTCAAGGGGGTCCAGGATTGGCATCGAGAGGTCAAGAGGGTCCAGAGTCGAGGTCTAGGGCTCAGAGAGGCCCAGGATTGGAGTCAAGGGGTTCAAGTTGGGGTCTGAGGTTTGGGGGGGGTCAGGATTGCTATCAGAGGGTCAAGGGTCCAGGATTGAGGTTCCAGAGTCAAGGAGTCCGTGACTGAGGTCGGAGTCAGAGGAGTCCAGGATTGAGGTCTGGGGCCAAGTAGGGTCCAGGATTACGGTCTGGGGGTCGGGGCGTCTGAGACTGTGATCCAAAGGTCCTGAGACCAGGATTGGGATGTAAGGGTCAGAGGGGCCTGGGGGGATTCTGAGAGTCCCTGGGGACCAGGACTGGGGTCTAGGGGACAAAGAGGGCTGAGACTAAGGTCTGAAGAAATAGAGGCCAGGATTAGGTCTGAGGGAAGGAGAAAGGGGTCTCAAGCCCCGGACAGGCCCTGGTGGGCCAAGCGGGCAGCAGTGATGGGCTGCTGGGGAAGTGGCCAGGCTCTTCCCACGGGGTGGGTGCCCACGGCAGGGCCTAAGGAGAGCGCCCGTCCCTTGGCAGCATCTCGGAGAATCAGTCGCTGCTGCGGATGCCGCCTTGGATGAACCCCTGGCTGCTGGCGGCCGTGGCCATGTCCATGGCCCTGCACTTCCTCATCCTGCTCATGCCGCCACTGCCCGTGAGTCACCCCGCCTGCCCCACTGCCCTGCTCCCCAGACATCACGGGACCTGGGCTGGTTGCTGGGCCTCTCCGGGCCTCCCTGCAATGGAAGCCACCTGGAGGAGAGGGAGGTTAGGGGTCTGGCCAGTCACTGCCTCCAGATGTGGCCCCACTGTCAGGAGCTCCCAGACTTGGGGGACAGAGAGGGGAAAACCTCTTGCTGAGGGGACTGTGCAAGGCTGGGCTGGGAGGAAGAATGATACCTTCCCCGGGCAGAATCCTTCTGCCTCCCCACAGGATGGGTGGGGGCTGGCCCAGCAGGCAAGGGCGGGGGGCCTTCAGGCAGAGGAAATCAAGTGGACAAAGATTTGGGGGCTGCATCCAGGGGGTTCTTAGACGTGCTCACGAGGAGTCCATCAGAGTCCCGGGGGGTAAGGCTGGCAGACAGCCAGGGCACGGGATAGTCAGTGCTTCCTTCAGCCAAACCTCCCTTCCCCGCCCCGCCAGCTCGTTTTCCAGGTGACGCCACTGAGTGGGCGCCAGTGGGTGGTGGTGCTGCAGATCTCTCTGCCTGTCATCCTGCTGGATGAGGCGCTCAAGTACCTGTCCCGGAAGCACGTGGACGGTGAGTGGAGGCCCCGCCCCACCCGCTGCCTGCTTGCCTTCAGCCTGTCCCGCACCTGCCACTGCTCCTGGGCTGCCGTGGACGCTGTGGGTGCAGCGTGCAGAGCCTCTCCATCTGCACGTGGTGGGGAGGGCATTCTTGGATCATCAAGCAGAGGGTGTGAAGGGACTCTGCTGGCTGGGACCCGAGGTGTCTGTGGGGTCCGGCACTACAGGGGTCCTGGGCTCACTGGGCCAGCAACGGGAGCACCGCTCGGCCACACAGCCTGTCTTCACCTGCCACCCACTGCGTGGCCAGGGCCCCTAGGCCCTATTCTGTGCCTCGGCCTCTGACCCCTCTGCACTGGCCTGTCTTTTATCCAGGCATTCTTGGGACAGTCTTGCAGGCCTGGAGTAGGCAGCCACGACCACCTCGTGGACCCCAGACCACACCGGATTGGCCTCTTTAGTGTCACCTTGTGGGTGGGGCGAGGGGAGCATTCTTTGTTTCCGAGCTCACAGATTGACCCCAGAGTGGATAGGACGGGTTGGCCAGTGTGGGGGTGGGGAGAAGTAGGCAGGGACATGGGGTCCCTCCACCTGCCTCTGCCAGGTGGGCTCTGAGAGTGGGTGATTCTGAACCTCCAAGGGCCGGGCACACGGCTTCTTCTCGCCATCAGGGCTGCTTTGGGAGGGCGGAAGCAGGCGTGAGCTCCCATTCCTGGGAATGTGCACAGAGCCAGTGGCCATGTGGCTGGACTGTGGTGCTGGGGCCTAGCTTGGGCTGGGCAGTGGCTGAGGCCTGCATGGGGGCAGCTGGGTCATTGAGGACCACCTCTGGCAGAAATGTGCCCCAGGGGAGGGAGAGGGGGACTATAAATAGATCACCCATCATTCCCTAGGGGCTGAGCAAGGGAGCTGGCCTGTCCAGGGAGTGGCCAGACTCCTGGCGGGGCTCACTTGAGGGTGCAGGTGGGTACTCAGCCTGTTGGAGCTCATGGGTGGCAGAGGCTGAGCCAGGCCGTTCTGCCTCCTGCCTGGTTCTTTCTGGCCAGTGTTCTGTGGCACCCTTGGGAAATGTGGAAAAGGGGGCAGACCTGACCCTGGAAATGCCCATCCAGGGGGGCCTGAGGCCTCCCAGCGCTGGCCGCTGGCCGCTGGACGGAGCGCCTGGAAGTTATGCCAGGAAATCCTCCAGCCGTCGTTGGCCACACCTACTCACCTGCAAAGCGGGGTATCCTGGGGACGTGGCAGCTCTGGTGGCTCTTTTGTCTTCCTCGGGAGATTTCCCAGATGGTCACAATTACCTAGGAGCTCAGCAGGTTTTCCTGAGAAAATGTAAACGTGAGAAAATTCTGCCCATAGCTAAAAGGTCTCAGCCAGCAGGGAAAAGCCTGTCTCAGATGCCTTTCTTTGCTCATTGGCTGTTGGATGGTGGAGGATTCCTGGGCCTGAGGAGGGGGAGGGCCCTGGCTGGATGGGACAGGCTAGGAGGGCTGGGAGGGAGAGATTCCTGCTGGGCCAGGAGGTAGGGGGAGTTTCTCGAGGCTTTGACGTTAAAGCAGCGTTTGAACCTAGTGGAACAGGGTTGGGTAAGCACAGATGCGCTCGGAGTGCAGGGCAGAGGGGTGAGGCCTAGGTGGTGGCAAGGGCCTTGAGTGCCAAGGTAGAGACCCTGGACGCTGTCCTCAGGGCAGTGGGGGAGCACGGAAGGGTTGTAAGCATGGAGGGGACTGTGTCATCCATGGAGGGCAGGCAAGAAGGAGTGAGACTAACAGGGGCCGGGCGCGGTGGCTCACACCTGTAATCCCAGCACTTAGGGAGGCTGAGGCAGTCGGCTCACCTGAGGTTGGGAGTTCAAGACCAGCCTGGACAACATGATGAAAACCCATCTCTACTAAAAATACAAAAATTAGCTGAGTGTGGTGTCGCATGCTTGTAATCCCAGCTACTCAGGAGGCTGAGGCAGGAGAATACCTTGAACCCGGGAAATGGAGGCTGCAGTGCATTCCAGACTGGGCAAGACTCCATCTCAAAAAAAAAAAAAAAAAAAAGGGGGTGAGACTAACAGCAGGAGGTGGGCGAGCAGCATTATGGCATCTGGGGAGGAGGCAGAGCTCTGGCCCTGGGAGCCATCGCAGGCAGCACCCCACCTCCACCTCCCCGAGAGGCTGACCATGGTACCTGTGAAGTTTGGCTTGGAAAGGTGGTGCCTGGATCCTGAAGGACAGACACAGGCTGGGTACCTGCGGCTCCATCTGAGGGGTGGGGTGGAGGCACCCCGAGGAATGTGCTTGCTGGAAGCCCAGCCAGTCCTGCCCAGCGCGCGGCTGAGGTCCCTGGGGCCTCCTAAAGCCAGACAGGGCGGGGGTGAGAGAGGGACCCTTGGCACTCCCAAGCCAGCTGGGTGGCCTTTTAGGGAAGTTTTTCTGAAGCCTGATGCTTGTGACTGCCCCATGATTTATGTCCTTTACAAGGGATGTGTCCTGGCGAGAGTCATGGCTCCTGGGTCAGCCCTGAGGGCTAGGGGCAGTCCTCCTGCCACACCTCCTGGCTCTGCCCAGGTGTGACTGAGCAGCTGTCAGGGGAGGCCTGGGGGCTGGGCTGTGAGGGGGTGATTGGAGATCTGGGAGGTCCTGGTTACAGGCTGGCTTAGACTTTTCCCTGAGGACAGTGAGGAGCTGTGAAATGGGGTGTTGGGACTGGATTTCAGCTTTGGCTTGATGTTAGGTACAGAGGGATGATGGGATGGTAAGACTGGGGCTGGGTCCAGGGCAGGAGGCCTTGAGGCCTGGTGGGGGGCAGCAGCGGAAGAGATTAGCTAGCGCATTTTGGGTGAATCAGGCCTGGGTGTGAGAGCTGGCCAAGAGAAGCAAGAGTGACCCTGGTTCTGAACCTTGCGATGATGGGTGGCAGTTCCCCAGACTTAAAACCAGGAGAATATGTACTGGGGGTTTGGAGGTGTTCATGGAGCAGTGGCGTGAAGGAGGCGTGGGGGCCGTTGGGGGAATGTGTCTTGCAGAGCAGGCTGCAGCTCAAGGGGTCTGGAGTGACAGAGGCCATGGGAGCCTGGGGCTGTTCTGGAGAAGTGGAGGCTGGAAGGGGCTGGGAGGGGCCGGAAGGAACCCGCCTGGATGTGTGCCCTTCCTTACACATACATCTTTTTTTTTTCATGAAGTCTCGCTCTGTCGTGCCAGGCTGCAGTGCAATGGCAAGATCTCGGCTCACTGCGACCTCCCCCTCCTGGGTTCAAGCGATTCTCCTGCCTCAGCCTCCAAGTAGCTGGGGCTACAGGCTCATACCACCATACCTGGCTAACTTTTGTATTTTTAGTAGAGATGGGGTTTCATCATCTTGGCCAGGCTGGTCTCAAACTCCTGACCTCATGATCCGCCCGCCTCGGCCTCCCAAAGTGCTGGGATTGCAGGTGTGAGCCACCGCGCCCGGCACGCATACATTTTAACACGCTCTTGGGTTTTTCTTCCAGAAGAAAAGAACCAGAAGTGAGTGCTGGGAACAGAGTGGAGTCTCCGGGCTGCTCCTCAGACTGATGGTGTCCAAGCATTGGCCTCCATCCCTGCCTCTGCCACCACACTTGCCCACTTGCCCCCTGGGCCCCACCGGATAAACCACAGGCCTGAGGCCAGAACGGTTATCTCTGGCCCCTTCCTGGGGTCTCCGTCCCCACTTCCTTCTGGCCTGCAGGCTCTGTAATTCCTGTCTCTTGGACTCTCCTGGGAAGTTCCCCGCTCTGATGCTCTAGCCCAGGAGCTGCAGGCTGGAGGCGGGGGCAGCCAGGAAGCCAGAGCTGGCAACAGACCCAGAGATCCGGGGCCCCTCCACCCCCAAATCATGAGCCCGTCTGGAGCTTGCTCTCCCTCGCTTACAAGCTGGACATTCACTTGGTGATTGGTGCCTCTGCACTGACGAGGACTCCTGGGGGGTCCTTCTTCCCGCTCTGACCTCTCCCTTGCGCCTGGTCAGCCACGGTGGATCAGAGGGGCCATCTGGGCCCAGCTGTGCACAGCAAGGGTGGGCAGTCCCCGCCACTCTGCTTTGCTTCCACAAAGTCGGCTCCTGAGAGCTTGAGGCTGTTTCTGTTTATATGTGCAGAGCCCAGGGGGTGAAGGGTCAGCAGAGACACAAGGACCCGGGAGGGGGACGGAGCAAAGATGCTGCTCCTGGGAGGCAGCCTGGAAGGACTGTCTCAGCCCCCTTCGCTTCCTGGACTCAGGGTTCCCTGTCCTGAGCACATAAGACTTTCGGAGTCTCGCTGTCGCCCACTGTGCCGTGCAGAGGTCAAACTCCCCATCCACGTCCTTGGTACCTGAGACCCCAGACAGCCTCGGGTTCCTGACCGAGGTGCCCTTCCACCCAGCCCCCTGCCTGCACAGCTAGGGCCTCCAAGTCTGGTGGGCTCTCCTGGACTCTTGGCCTCACTCCTTGCCCCCTGCCCACGACAGCCCTGAGCTGAAAGGTTATCACTAAGGATGGCTAATTCCCCACGGGCACTTTCTCTCCCTCCCTCCCTCCTGGTGTATTGCGTCAGGTCAGATGACAGGAAGGTGCCATTTGATGGACAGAATCTTTCTCTTAAGTCGGCTTTTGCTGCTTAGGCAAAAACTCGCTAGGTGTGTCAGGAAACAGTATCAGGCACTGCCCTGTGCTTTGCCTGTCCTAGAGAGGGTGCAAAGTGATGATTTTGCATGTAAATCAAGACTCACATCCATTTCCTAGTCCCCCAAAGCTGCTCAGCCTGCCTTGCAGAGCAATGGGCTCCGTGTTCTGTAGCCACCCTTCCCACTCCTCCCCCCTCCTCTCTCTTGCAGGTTCTTGGTGGGCCAGTGAGAGAAACGCAGTGGGGGAGTTAGGGCATCTGGTGCCTGCAGAGATTCTCTGCTCCTTTCCTGCGGGAAGGTGAGGAGGTGGCAGCAGGAGCAGGGCCCTGTACCTACCTGCTGACGTGCTGTTTGGTAGAGAAATAAATGTTGTGTCTGGGGCGATGGAAGACCCTCAGCGTCTGTTTCCTGGGGAGTATTCCCACCTGCTCCACCTACGCGGTGTCTGCCTGGGGCCCTACCACCTGCCCACACCCACTCCAGGAGATGCTGAGCAAAGGGCTGGGGTTCACACGTCACCGGGATTGTTCTCTGGCCTCCAAGACAAGACTCTGAGAGCCACACTCGAGTGGCAGGTGCAGCGCCTGTAGACCCTCCCGGCTTCAGGATGCTTAATCCTCAGGGAGCAGAGTTGGCAATTTGTGCACGAGTTCAAATAACATAACCTTTTATTTTATGTTATTTATTTATTTGAGACAGAGTTTTGCTCTGTCACCCAGGCTGGAGTGCAGTGGTGCAATCTCGGTTCACTGCAACCTCCGCCTCCTGAGTAGCTGTCTCGCCTCCAGAGTTGCCAGGAAGGCGCATGCCACCACAGCCAGCTAATCTTTTGTATTTTTAGTAGAGACGGGGTTTCACCATGGTGACCAGGCTGGTCTGGAACTCCTGACCTCAAGGGATCCGCCCGCCATGGCATCCCAAAGTGCCAGGATTATAGGCGTGAGCCACCGTGCCCAGCCCCTTTTGTGCACTTTATGATCTTCATGTCACCACAGAGGAAACTGAGGCTGGGGGTGTTCCCTGGTTGGGCCTGGGGCAGGTCTGGGCCTGGAGTCTGAGCCTCGGGGGCCCCTTGCATCCCACAGAGGAGCCTTTGCCTTAGCCCTTCTGCCGGTCCCACAACTCTCTTGCTCTATTTCCCTCCCTCCTCAAACCCCAGGATCCCTTCCACTTCTGGCCCTTCCAAGCCCAGCTCAAATGCACCTGGCACCTGCCACCTCCCCAGGCTTCCCTCAGCCCACAGTGCCCCCAGGGCCTCTGTGAGGCTGCTCGGGGTGAGCGGACTCGCTCTGGTGGCCCTGCCTTCCTGGAAGCCGGGCTCTGGGAAGGAAGTCACCACGGCCCTCATTTCATCCAAACGCACCATGAGGTCTTGGTATCTAATCTTCCACTCAGCTGCCCCAGGAAGGAGACTCAGGCCCTGCCCCTGGGGCCACAGGCAGGGATTGTCTACATCATTTGCAGGGCCCGTTGCAAAATTAAAACCTGGAGCCCTTTGATCAAAAATGACAAGAATTGCAAAGACAGCAGAACAGTCAACATTATGGCCAGGCATGGTGGCTCACGCCTGTAATCCCAACACTTTGGGAGGCCAAGGTGGGTGGATGACTTGTGGTCAGGAGTTTGAGACCAGCCTGGCCAACATGGTGAAACCCCGCCTATACTAAAAATACAAAAATTAGCTGGGTGTGGTGGCAATGCGCACCTGTAGTCCCAGCTACTTGAGAGGCTGAGGCAGGAGAATCACTTGAACCTGATAGGCAGAGGTTGCAGTGAGCTGAGATCATACCACAGTCTGGGCGACAGAGTGAGACTCCATCTTAAAAAAAAAAAAAGGCATTAAAATTCACCAAACCGTGTGTCTAAAATGGGTGCATTTTATCGTTTGTGAATTACACTGCAGTACAGTTTGACTTAGAAGGAAAAGAGGTAGCAGCTGCAGAAGAGGTGGGTGATGTGGTGTCAGCATCCTCAGCACCTGGGGAGGAGTGCTCAGTGCTTGAGGGGCAGGGCCGATCCCAGGCACCAGGAGTCCTTAATCCAGGGCAGAGAGAGGCTGGGATGAGGGGAAATAGCCCAAGCATGGAGGCTTTTAGAGTCTCCGTGACAAGGAGGCAGTCCCCACCCTCACCCTGCTACCTGGGAGCTCCCCGGTTCCTCCTTGGGGGGCCGGGGGTTGGCCCCTAGTTCACAGCAGAAGCCACGGTCGGCCTGGAAGACCCCTCACACCACAGAACCTTCCACACACTTCATCTCCCCGTGTCTTCAGCCAGCCTTGGGAGATGGGCCAGGCAAGGGCTAGGACTCCATTTACGGATGAGGAGCCTGAGGCCCAGGATGTGTGGGCCTTGCCCAAGGCCCTCTGCTGATCTGATCATCAGGCTTGCACCATGGTGCCCAGGCAAGGTGTGGGTCTGAGATAGGCTGGGGGTCCTGTGTACAAGGCCGTCAGCTCCAGGCTTCCCAGCCTGCTGCCTCCACCCCCATCCCGGCCGGCCTGAGTCCAGCTCTGTGCAGCACACAGCATGGAGTCCACAGGCCAGGACGGGGCGGCCAAGGTAAACAGAGGTCTCCTTACCTCACAGCTGCTCGCCCAGGAGGGAATTCCGGGGCAAGCCCCGGCACACTTCTAACTGGCAACTACCACACGCTCATGGGGACCCCGCCCCTCTGGAGACCAGGAGTCTTCCAGCCCCACACCCCATGCTCCAGGACCACAACGGGGCTTTATTTGGAGAAACAGAGGCACGAAATCAGAGCAGGAGGAGAAGGAAGCCAGACACACACACAGAGGCCTGCCCCCAAGTTTCCACAGCAGTTTACCAGCACAGGCCCCAAATGTCCATGAACAGGTGAAGGGTAAGCGAGCTGTGGTGCGTGCACACAACCGAAAGGAGCAAACCATCGACACACACACAACGGCAACTCGGAGTCCACACCTTCAGCGGCAATGAGCAGAGGCGGCCAGACCCCGAGCAGAGCTCCTCCTGTGTCATTCCACCTGCCTGATGATCCGGAGGAGGCTGGAGAAGATGGACCACAAAGGGGAAGGCGGGGGCATTCTAGGCTGATGGATTTGGAGCGTGTGCATGCATTTGTCAAAACTCATCAAATCGTTTGCCTAAAATGGGTGCATTTTATTGTATGTGAATTACACTCCAGACAGTTGGATTTAAAAAAAAAAAAAAAGGCTGGGTGTAGTGGCTCACTCCTGTAATCCCAGAACTTTGAAAGGCCGAGGCAGGTGGATCACTTCACGTCAGGAGTTGAAGACCAGCCTGGTCAGCATGGTGAAACCCCATCTCTACTAAAAACACAAAAAAAGTCTGGGTGTGGTGGCTCACACCTGTAATCCCAGCACTTTGGGAGGCCGAGGTAGGCAGATTTCAAGGTCAGGAGTTCGAGACCAGCCTGGCCAACATGATGAAACCCCATCTCTACCACAAATACAAAAATTAGCTGGGTGTGGTGGTGGGCGCCTGCAATCCCAGCTACTCCAGAGGCTGAGGCAGGAGAATCGCTTGTATCGGGAGGTGGAGGTTGCAGTGAGCCACAATCATGCCACTGCACTCCAGCCTGGGCTGGACAGAGTCTCACTCTGTCTCACAAGAAAAAAAAAGAAATAAAGATGTAAGTGCCAGAAAGGAGGTGAATGTGGTCACCTACTGGTGTAGAGGTGCCGGTAGCCTCAAGAGCTGACAGGGAGAGGGGTCTCCCTCGTAAGGGCTCCGCACTCAGTGTTTGAGGGACAGGGCCTAGCCCAGCCCCCCAGAAGTTCTCTTTATTTTTATTTAATTAATTAATTAATTTTGAGACAGGGTGTTGCTGTGTCACCCAGGCTGGAGTGCAGTGGCGTGATCACGGCTTGCTGCAGCCTCCCAGGCTTACGAGATCCTCCCACCTCAGCCTCCCAAGTAGCTGGGACTATGGGCGTGCACCACGATGGTGGTGCATGCCCAAAGAATTTTTTTCTGTTTTTGATAGAGTTTCACTCTATCCCCCAGGCTGGAGTGCAGTGGCGCGATCTCGGCTCACCACAATCTCCCTGTCACAGGCTCAAGCAATTCTCCTGCCTCAGCCTCCCAAGTAGCTGGGATTACAGCTGCCTGCCACCCCGCCCAGCTAATTTTTGTAATTGTAGCAGAGACAGGGTTTCACCGTATTGGCCAGGCTGGTTTCAAACTCCTGACCTCAAGTGGTCTACCCATCTCAGCCTCCCAGGTTGCTGGGACTATAGGCATACACCACCATGCTCAGCTAATTTTCTTTTTTTCTGTATTTTTTGTAGAGATGGGATTTCACTATGTTGCCCAGGCTGTTCTCAAACTCCTGGGCTCAAATCCTCCTGCCTTAGCCTCCCAAAGTGCTGAGATGTCAGGCGTGAGCCGCCGCCCCTGGCCTCCCGGTAGTTCTCTTAATCCAGGGTGGAGGGAGGCTGGGGATGAAGGGAAGTGGGGCAGAGGGGTGAGCCGGATGGAGAAGGACCAGGAGGTGATACACTTTAAACACACAGGGGGAGTGGGGAGGGCCTCAGCTGGGTCACAGCCCAGAGTGCGGGGTAGGAGAGGCCTGAGAAGCAGCTCAGGTCCAGGTAATGGGAGAAGCCAAACCTGGGGCCAGCGCTGTACCCCAGGCCTCCCCCCAGCTGCCGGCCCTCCCCCAGCCTCCCCATGGCAGGCTCTGCCCGGCTGGCCCAGAGCCCTGCTGTAGCCAGAGTCTCAGAGGCTGCATGGCATTATAGGAATCTCAGCCCAGACAGTGTCAGGGTTGGACTGAGGCAGCATCTGGGCATCCTTGGGACCCTGAGTGGCTAAGGAGCCCCTGTTGGAAGCTGTGTCCCCTCCCTTGAGGCCCCAGCCAGCCTCGAGCCTCCATGCTGCACAGAATCGCTAAATTTAGCCCCACCGGGAGGCTGTCCGGGGCAAGTGCTTGGCAGCCAGGCCGTCTCCCTACAAGGCCCGGCCTGGTCCCCGAGCCGGCCACCCAGTCTTTGGGCTTATAAGGCAGGACTGGCAGCTCTCACACGCTGGAGTCTTCGGGTGGCTCGGGGCCAAGCCCTCAGACTTTGGGGAGCCTCCTTCCAGCCATCAGCTCACGTGGGAACTCCTGTGACCGTGGGCCTCAGTTTCCTGGCCTGTGAAATGCGGACTCCGGGGCCTCCCCAGCCTCCCCCTGGGGCTGCTGGAAGGAAAACCCTTCCCCGACCGACCCCAAGTGTGGCACTCCGGCCTGTGCCCTGCCCACGCCAGCCCCAAATGCCTAGAACAAAGGCAGGTGTTTGTCCCAGAGAACACTGCGGCAGGGCCCAAGGGAGAGAAAGACGCAGTTTAGAGCCGGCGAAAGGCGTGCTGACCCCACCGGATGGCTGACTTGCTCTGTGGAGTTAGCAGCAGGAAATAAATGTAGGTCCCTGGGGTGCACTTTGGATAAGATAATATCCCCACATGAGACACTCCTCCAGGCTGCTCCGCCTTCTGAGGGTCAGCGCCAGGGCCCAGGCTGTGACAAGCACAGGTGTGTCCTCCAAGCAAATCTGTCCCTCAGCCAATCTCTCCTCAGTCTCTCCAGCAAGCCTGGCTCCCTGGAGGAGGAGGAGGAGGAGGAAAACACGGTGGTGTGACAGGAATAGAGCAGACTGAAGAACCCCTTCCCTTCCCTTCCCTCCCCTCCCCTCCCTTTTCTCCCTTTTCCTCCCCTTCCCTTCCCATCCCTTCCCATCCCTCCTTCCTCCCTCCCTACCTCCCACCTCCTTCCCTCCTTCCTTTCTCCCTCCTCCTTCCCTCTCTTCCTCCCTTCCTTCCTTTCTTCTTTCCTCCCTCCCTCCCTCCCTTTCTTCCCCTTCCTCCATCTTCTCCTTCCTTCCTCCCTCCCTCCCTCCCTCCTCCCTCCCTCTCTTCTTCTCTTCCTTCCTTTCTTTCTTCCTTCCTCCCTCCCTTCCTGTCTTCCTTCCTCCCTCCCTCCTCCCTCCCTCCTCCCATCCCTCTCTTCCTCTTTTCCTTCCTTCTTTCCTTTCTTCCTTCCTTCTTCCCTCCCTCCTGCCTTATTTCCTCCCTCCCTCCCTCCCTCCCATTCCACAGTGCCAGCCACTCTCCAGAACGTGGTGTTCGTGTCAGGGAGCAGTGGCTGAAAGGGGACCCAGAACGGCCCACGAGGTCTCAGCATCCACCCCAGTCCCCATCACAAGCAGCTGAGTCCTGGTGCCTCCCATTCCACGGCCACAGGGGCAGCTGGGAAAGGAACTGGCCCTTTTGTCTGGGGTCAAGATCAGGAGACGGCCGCCCCAGCTCTGGTTCCCAACGTCGCTGGATTTTCTTTAGAAAAGCCCACGACACTCACCAGATTAGCAGAAACTCTCCGACAGGGGTGAGACTGGTCCACTTGGCAAGGAGAGACAGGCCAGGGTGCTGGAAGGGGCCTCGGGCAGCCCTCTGTGGGCGACCCCCATTCAGACAGGCTGTGGGGATTCCCAGCCCCAGGCCTGGCTCCCTGCCAGGAGCACTTCTGGCTAACGGCTTGCCAGGAAGACGACTCCTTATCAGTCTCAGGGGTGGCGCAGCTCGGACTCTGGGGCCTCCAAGGCCCTGCTTCCAGCTGGAACCACCAGTTCCACTGGGTGAGCTGGACCAACTCATTTCTCTTCTCTGAGCTTCCATTTCCTCGTCTGCAAGATGAGGGATGGGGCTGGGAGGCCTCCAGCTCTGAGGTGCTAACATGGGACCCTGTGCCCGCCCCAAACCCCAGTGTTCAGGCCCTGGCTGGGGTTGGGCAGCGAAGGTAGGGGCTGCAGAGGTGCTGTGCCCCAAACTCAACAGTGGCCTGTTCTGTCCTGTGTTGCTGAGACCCATCCCCCGGGAGCCTCCACTCAGGAGGAGTAGCCCTGATCACCCCACTTTACAGATGAGGGAGCTGGCTCAGACGGACAAGGTGGCACCCAGCGCCCACAGCCAAGAAGCGGCAGAGCCAGGGAGCTCCGAGGGCAGGCTCTCCGCTGGCCTCAGGGCCCCGACAGCCCTGTGTGGCAGACGTGGTGCCTGCCTCGCCTGGCACCTGCCACCTCTCTCCCTCCAATGGTGGCCCAGGCAGGGCAGGTGGTGGAGAGGAGGGGTGGGGGATAGAGATGCCAGCCCAGCACTGCAGTCAGCTGGGCCGGGCCAGGCTTGGACTCAGAGCCTCTTTCCTCTCCACCCGCTCTCTACAGGCCCCCAGGGACAGAGCAGTCAGCCCTGGTGGGAGAGGAAGAGGGTGGTCAATGGGGATGGGGACGGGGATGGAAGGCTGATTTTGGCGGGCAGGGGAGGGCACGGGCGGGGGGAGGGGTGCGGTGCAAGGGCGGGGGCTTCTGAACCTGAGGCGACTCCAGATTCCCGCAGGCCTTGGCCAGAGCTCCATCTTGCCAGGTTTTGGAGGAATAACTCGAGGAGCCGGCAGAGAGCTTTATCTTTGCCCCCGTGACGGGTGGCCAGTGGTTTCCTGCCAACAACTCCTGTTTCCGGAGGCCCATCAGGGCCAGGCAGAGCCAGGAGGGGCAGCGGGGCTGGGCCTGAGTGGCCCCGCCAGCCCCGCCCCATCTATCTTTGGGAATTTATTTGTACATGGGCAAGGCAGGCCTGCAGTCTCCTGCCTTCCAGGGGCCAAGAGCTGCTCCTACCGCCCCAGGCTTCTCTCTCCAACCCACACGCCTCCAGCCGACCCCGGGCTCTGGCCCTGTCCACACCTGCACGGCCCCGCTCTTCCTAAGGGGCCGCACAGCCCCCAGACGCCCTGCCATCCACGTGGGTGTTGGCACCGGCTCACCCTGAGAGCAGAGGCCGGGCAGGGGTGGGCTCTGAGCCCCCGCCGGTCTGCCATGGCGCGGCGGTTCCAGGCTGAGCTGGCTGCCTTTTTCTTCGAGTACGATACCCCCCGCATGGTGCTGGTGCGCAACAAGAAGGTGGGCATAGTCTTCCGGCTGATCCAGCTGCTGGTCCTCGTCTATGTCGTGGGGTGAGTCTGGTGCCTCCCGCTGTCCCCGCCCCCGCACTGGGCCTGTCCTCCAGGCCCCGAGACACCTTCTGAGACACCAGGGAGGCCTCTTCCTCTCCAGCAGTGGAGGGGAAAAGCTGCCAGGTCACCGGAGGGGAAGCCCTGTCCGGGGCCTTCGGTGAACGGGAGGCAGAGTTGTGGGGTTTCGAGGAACCGGCTCAGTGTCGGGGTTCCTTTGAGGGGTGGTGTTCAAGGCTAGGGCCCACCAACCACAGCGACCGAGCCCTCGACCTCTGACTGCCTGCCAAACCAGGCTGTCACGGACGCACAGGCCAGAGAGGGACAGGCTCTGCTGCCACCTTCCCTGCCTAAGTGAGAGGCATCTGGGGAGGTTTGAGGCCCCTGGAGCAGAGAAGTCCCCGCCGCCTGAAGGACTGGTGCCTTCACGTTGGCATGTCAGGCAGAGGCCAGAGATTGGAGGTTCTGCTCCCTGGGATGATGGTTTCTTCCCGGGCGTCTCTGGACCTGTCCCGCCAGGCAGGGAGTGCAGTCAGAGGCAGCAGGGGAACGCTCCTACAGTCTGGTGCTCCCGGGAGGCAGGCTTGGCCTGGCAGACACTTGCACACATATGGGTGTGTGCATGGACTCGGCTGGCTGCCTATGCGTGGGGACCCCTGTGTGTGCATATGGCTGTGCCCATGTCTGCCCTGTGGCTGGTGCGTGTCCCCTGTGTGTGGTTCATCTTGTCCACTCACAGTGACTCTGCAGAGGGCTCCTGGAGGCCCCAGGGCCGCAGGCGGGGTCTCAGCCCCTGCTGGGGGGGCTCAGGGTGCCCAGTAACCCCTGCCTGACTCTGCCGTGTGATTCTGAGACTCTGGTCTCCACATCATGTTTACCATGGTTCCAAACCAGAACTGCTAAATGGAGTCCAGGGCAGGCTGACCCAGGGCCCAAACAAGGACCTCAGCTTCCTAGTCCCCCTGAAACGAATGGCGTCCAAAAGAGCCGTCCCTCTGCCTCCACCCCGTCTCCGAAGCTCAGAGCTGGCCAGATGCACCCAGGGCCAGGCCCCAGCCTTGGCCTCTCTCCTCTCTCTGGTTCAGAAACCAATTTGACATCTGCGATGCTGTTTGAGCTTGTGAGGGAAACTGAGGCCCAGAGAGTCGCAGTGGGCCTTCCAGGTCCACAGTGAGTCAGCAGCCCGCATGCAAGGGCACAGAGCTCCGTACACACCCTGACCCCCAGGCTTCTGCTGGGCCTGCTCCTTCCTCACCATCACAGGACTGGGGATCTTTTCTAGCGGGCACTTATGATGGGATGCCAGGTGCAGGACGGGCCTCAGGTTCACCTAGCGGCACTCCTGACCCTCCCTGGAAGAGAGAGGCTGCCTGCTGAAGCCCAGCCTACCCTTGCTGGAAGAGGTGGGGGCGGGGGGCTGGGGGAAGGTTGTCCTCTCTCTGCCCCTGCGGCTCCCTACTTCTGCTCTCAGATCTGCAGGTGTGAGGGGCTCCTGTGTGAGGGTCACAGGCTGTCAGTGTGGGAGTCCCCACCCTGTACCCCCAGCCCCCACCCAGCCACAGCCACAGCCTCAGCCTATGCCCCAAGCTGCCGCCCAGCCGGGAACCTAAACCTCCAGTGACGGGGACCTCACTACTGCCCTCCTGCCCATCTTCCTTCCCAAGACGGTCTCATCAGCTTCCAGATGGCCGTGGCCCTTCTCGGTGTCCGTGGGGCCCAGGGCCACAGGGGTCTAGCCAGGATCTCACAGCTGAGTAAGAGGCTAACCAGGATTTGAACCCACCCACCTGCAGGGCTCCAAAGTCAGCCTTGATATTCCAGAAAGAAACATCCTCAGAGAGAGGGCACTGACCTGCCCTAGTCACACAGCAGAGGGTGGAAGGAAGGCAGGGTCCCTCAGCACAGCCTTCCAGCTCACGCGTGGGCTGTGGCTCCTGCTGTCCCTTGTGCCCTCGTCTGGCCACTGCCCAGTACTGCACTGACCTCTCAGCTAGGAACCCATAGCTGCAAACCCAACCCCTGACCCAGCCTGGACCTGGTCTTGGCATCTCAGGCCTCAGCTTCCTAACCGGCCCCTGGGGCAGGGGTTGCAGGGTACCTCCCTAAAGTGCACTCAGCTCAGCATGTGGCTATTTCCTGGGGAGGGCTTTGCTTTCGTGTCTGGCCCTGTGGGCATTGCCGGGGGATGGAAAAGAGCTTGAGAGAAGAGCCAGGTCCCGTGTCCCAGAGACAGGGCGAAGCCTGGGTCGGGGATGGGTGGACACAGAGACAGACCTGGACAGAGAGACAAACACCGGAGCACAACTCAGATGAAGGGAAGGAGGTCCTGAGACTCAGAGATGGACAGTTACTGAGGCTGAGCAGAGAGGCTGACATGCCGAGAACACAAACTCTGAGGAGGGAAACTGAGGCAGTGGTCTTTGCTAGTCATGCTCTTCTAGGAAATCCTGGGCAAGGGAGGACGTGAGTAGGCCTGATACCAGAAGGGTTGGGCTGAGTTGAGCTGGCCCTCTCCAGTTAAGATGGTCTCAGATAAGGCTGGGCACAGTGGCTCACGCCTATAATTCCAGCACTTTGGGAGGCCGAAGTGGGCAGATCACCTGAGGTCAGGAGTTCGAGACCAGCCTGACCAACACGGTGAAACCCCGTCTCTACTAAAAATACAAAAATTAGCTGGGTGTCATGGCTCATGCCTGTAATCCCAGCACTTTGGGAGGTCACGGTGAGCAGATCACTTAAGCTCAGGAGTTCAGGACCAGCCTGGCCAACATAGGGAGGCCCTGTATCTACAAAATATTGCAACAAAACAAAATTAGCCAAGTGTGGTGACCCGTGCCTGCAGTCCCAGCTACTCAGGAGGCTGATGTGGGAGGATCACCTGAGCCCAGGAAGTTGAGGCTGCAGTGAGCCACGACTGCACCAGCGCACTCCAGCCTGGAGGACAGAGTGACACCTGTCTCAAAAATTAATAAATAATGGCCAGGCATGGTGGCTCATGCCTGTAATCTCAGCACTTTGGGAGGCTGAGGCAGGTGGATCACCTGAGGTCAGGAGTTCAAGATCAGCCTGGCCAATATGGTGAAACCTTGTCTTATAAAAAGAATAAAAATAAAAATAAAATTAATAAATTAAAATAAAATAATTAAAAATGCAAATCGTTGGCCTGTGATTCAATTCCACATTCATTTAGTCATGCAATACACCGGTGTTTATTGAGCCCCTACTATGTGCCAAGCATTGCGCTGGACACTAAAAATACAGAAGCGAACAGAAAAAAGATCCTGTAGTCAGGGAATAAATGCTCAGATGCTCCTGGACTTGTCTGTAGGTTGTGTTGAGGCCTCAGGGTGGGCTCAGTTCTGAGCAGTCCTCCCAGGCTTGGCGTCTGGTTGTGCCCCTCCCCAAGGGCACTGCTGTCTGACAGCTCATGCCCCATCTGGTCAACTCTTGCCTGTGGCCCATGGTCATACCCTGTATCCCATCAGCCACCACCTGGCCGGGCCCTCCAGCCCGTGCCAGAGCTGCCCCAACATCTGCCCCAGCTCCTCCAGCGTCTCAGCCTTCCCACCACAAGCCCTTCTGGGTCCTTAGATGAAAGCCAAGGGAGGACAGGAGGACTGAGAGACCCAAAGAATGTGGGCATGATGGGGAGGGTGGCTGTGAGGACGCTGCCCAGGTGCCGAGCCTGGGCGATGGGGTGGGGCAGCACCATTCTCCATGATGAGGACACAGGGGAACAAGTTTTAAAGGGGGATGAAGAGATCAGTTTGGTCCAGTTGAGTTTCTGTTTGTATAGTGGTTAGTACTCGGCATTGAAATAATTGTGTAAACCAGGCACAGTGGCTCACGCCTGTAATCCCAGCACTTTGGGACACCAAGGCAGGTGAATCACGAGGTCAGGAGTTCAAGACCAGTCCCGCCAACATGGTGAAACCTGTCTCTATTAAAAATACAAAAACTAGCTGGGAGTGGTGGTGGGTGCTTATAATCCCAGCTACTCAGGAGGCTGAGGCATGAGAACCGCTTGAATCCAGGAGGCGGAGGTTCAGTGAGCCAAGATCATGTCACTGCACTTCAGTTTGGGAGACAGAGAGACTCCATCTCAAAAAAAGAATGAAAGAAAGAAAATGAAACAAAGAAAGAAAGAAAGAAACAAAGAAATAAAGACAGAAAGACAGAAAGACAGAAAGAGAGAGAGAGAGAGAGAGAGAGAGAGAGAGAGAGAGAGAAAGAAAGAAAGAAAGAAAAGAAAAGAGAGAGAGGAAGAAAGAAAGAAAGAAGGAAAGAAAGAAAAGGAAGGAAGGAAAAGAAAGAGAGAGGAAAGGGAAAAAGAAAAGAAAGAAAAAGAAAGAAAGAAAGAAAGAAAGAAAGAAAGAAAGTAAGAAAGAAAGAAAGAGAGAAAGAGAGAGAAAGAAAAGAAATGTAATATACCATAACATTTACCCTTTAAAAAAATACCATTCAGGCTTGGCTTAGTGGCTCATGCCTGTAATCCCAGCAATTTGGGACACTGAAGTGGGAGAATCCCCTTGAGGCCAAGAGTTCAAGACCAGCCGGGGCAACAGAGACTGACTCTACAAAAAAACATATTAAAATAAAAATCCAATTCTGTGGTTTTTCGCATATTCACAGAGTTATGCAACCATCACCACTGATTCCTGAACATTTTCTTCCCCCCAAAAGGAAAGCTCCCACCCTTTAACAATCGCCCGCCATTTCCCCTCCCCGCAGCCTGCTGTGGCTATTCTGGGTATTTCATGTGGGCAGAATCCTATGATACGTGGTCTTTTGCGTTTGGCTTCTTTCACTTACTCAAGTGTTGTCAAGGTTTATCCGTGTTGGTTGTAACTCGTATCAGCACTTCATCCATTTTCAAGGCTACATAATATTTCACTGTGTGGCTCTATTTTGATTATCTAGTTGTCAGCTGATGGACAGTGGGGTTGTTTCCACTTCTTGGCTCTTGTGAAAATACTGCCGTGAATATTTGTGTCCAAGTTTTT